GCATTCCATTAAGCCATGCGCGCATGCTCATTAATCTTAAACGCCATCGCCTAACCTTACATTGCATATACAGTTAAGTTATACAATATACGATTTTGTACAAGTGTATGGATCTCTTTTACAATCTTCAAGAAATGCAAAATGTCTTGCCTACGAAGCCAATAATGCTGACATTGACTGGCAGCGACATTTGTACGCCGATCGTTCTTGATTATCTTTGATTTCGGTTAAAAGCAAACTAGATCAGTTCAAATCAATAAACAAAATATGCATGTATTGATCAATATATACAAAAAAAAAAATATCAGATAAATTCTACAAAAATATATTTAGAGGATAAAGTTAAGCTAATACTAGCATAATCTTTGCATGCACCAGCAACTTCAGCATTCCTAAAAAAAGTTGACGATCGTTGAGTAAAATAAGCGTAGATGATCGATACCAGATGCAATTTTAGTTCAACATAATATGTATAATATTTTATTCAAGCATAAATTTAATATTGATTTCATTTGATTAGATATATATTATATATATAAATATTATTAATTTATAACATCAACTATGGCATTAATCTATTAATCTCTAATGCCAGTATCAAGCATGTTTCTGTATCGATGTTTTTATTTCACTAAAGGTAATTTAAATAAATTTCGAACTAGTTTCTCTTAATTACTTTTCTCATTTAAAATAAAATCTTATAATAATTAAAATTTAGATTGCATATATTTTCTAAGTTTTTATGTATTTTGACTCTCCAATATTTTACTTCAACTGCGTTTAATGTGACGAAAAATTTATTTCACTCAATCAAACGAGGTAATGTGCTTACCTGAAACTGGATTAAAGCTTGCTTGTTAAGTCTCCTGATAGTCGCCGGCCCAAGATGAGGTTATGCAAAGCCTTTATTCCTATACTGCTGCTGAGTGCGTAGGCTTTCGTATTGTAACTCCACTTACACTCTCTTATCAACTGCTTTAAATCTGTAACATTTCTCTGCCAGTGCTGTTAACAACATAAACTCTGTAAATTTAACCTACACATGAACATGTCACTTGAGATAAGATTTGTCATTTGCAACTCATGATGTTGCATAAAATTTAAGAATTAGGTTTGTATGTAACATTAAAGAAAAAATGCACGCATATTTAAATTGTGTAAGGTGCGTCAGTTAAGTATTTTATTAAAAAATTATCCAGATTGCGATATTGCCAATATGAAAATGTGTGGCACTTTATGTGAAATTTTGATATTTAAGAAGGCCATACATAAGATACGGATTTTATAACTGTACTAACAGCACTATGTGAAAATGTTTGAAAAATTTAATACAGAAAGTTAAGCATTTACAAAAAGATGTTATTAAGATGTTCTTTGTAAATATGGTACACAAGTAAGTTTTTAGACAATAGGTATGTTGTACGAACTACTCGTAGTAAAACTCAAGTAAAACACAAGTAAAGTACAAACTGAGAACGTAACAATAATAAAGTCCAAATTACGCTCTTTACATAGATTTTCATGGAACAGCTTTGTGTAAAATCTGGTGAGAACACCAGTGCCGCGCAAATATATAGGTAATACAAAAATTTAAATTCAAATCAAAATAGCTGATTCACACATTATACAAATTTTCCTTGAAATAAAGTAGTAAACGAGTAAAGACGAGTACAGTCTGTGTAGCATTTTCAATATTCAATATTTCAGACATGCTTATGGATAGAAAGACCGAAACATTCCATATTGGAAATTTAAGAAGTAATCAGGCTACTAGATTTTCCAAATAAAGATCTTCTAAAACTTGTCCCCTTTTCAACAGTGTAGGAGGGGTTGTGGCACTTACAATTTTATATATATAGAAATATAGTAATAAAACGGCATCCATGCACTACTTGGAAAGAAGATAAGGCTGTGTCACCACTAGAACCAACCCACCACATCTAATTTAATATTTAGAATCATAAACCTTTGGAAAAACTGGTTGGAGATGACTAATTTAGTGAAGGTAAAGATTACAGAGATCACGTACTTGATTAAGAAAACTATGAGTCAAGAGTAAAGTACTAGAAGAAGAATACAATACAGATGCTATTTTATTCTAATTCCATTTTTTGTTTACTAAAAATTCTTAATTTAAATTTACTTACTCTTTTTACAAAAGTCTGAAAGATGTTAGACTAACATTTCTTTAGCAGCCAGCTGAATTGGTGTACCTACTTCAAATATGTAATCACTAACCTAGTACTTAGGATTGAAACAATGGTATATAAAACAAAATACTATCGTCTTTTTTAGGACACTAGACAATAGAATGTCAAGGGGCCATGCTAGTACTACCGATATTCTCTCCAATTCACTTAATTACCTGGTTTAAATTAGTATAACTATTGTTGCAGTTGAAGCTAATAACTGCATTTTGTAAAGAACTTTAAAATAAAAAATTTATGTATATATATTTAATCATATTTTCAACAATCGATTTAATCGATTAATAAATACCGTTAAAGAAATGTCAATTTCAGAAATAGCTCACACTGCAAAATACCTTAAGATTACCTAAAGAAGAACGGTTTTAAGCGGGATAACATTAACATTTAACGACTTATTGCCATTAACTTTAACTAGCATGCAACAGGCCATTATAGAAACAACTATATGGATAAATAATGTTCTCCAGTTAACATTGAACGTTTTATTGATATTAACAATAATTAATAACTGCTGCAGTGATTAAACTATTATATGTAGAGTTAGTATTAAATTAATGCAGTTTAGTATTAGTAGAGACGAGCTTTTAGTGTTAAAACAGTTATAAGTGGGACATAAATTATCTTGAAATTGTTAAATTCAACCAATGTAAGCAATTTCGTAATAAATGTATGTAAAAAATATGACTCAATAAAATGGATTTCTGAGACAATCCATGTTTGGCATGTTTCATCGAAATATTTATAACTTATATATCACATATATAGCCTATAGTTGCATTTATGGGCTATCCATTTAATTTGACTATTGTAACTTAGAGTTGCTGTAAAAATAATTCAATAAAACCGACTTAACTTATTCTATATGGTAAAAATTGAAAAAAAAATCTTTATTTAAAATGATGCAGTTCTTTTTGATTCTTTCAGGTGCTTACGTTCTATTGACCTCTATCCACAGGTAGCAAAGACTCCAAAAAAAATGTATTGTAATTTATATATAGTAAAGAACATTATTTTTGATTTATACCAAATTGCTTATTGGTATATATATTAAATCTGCATACATGTATATCTAATTTCCGTCGAAAATTGACGTAATAGGAAAAATAAATAAACTGCAATCTAAGCATATCCAAGACAAGCTTCATAAACCGCATATGAGTTCAGAAAATACTTTCATGTTATCCATTGCACTTGAGATTACCAATATTGCCACCAGTGCTGCTGCATTTGTCTTATTGCACTGTTGATTGCATTTTATTGCCTTTGTAATTATGTTCACGATTGCCAATACACAACTAAACCCCCTTCCAACTGCATCTTTCTTACAATGAATCTGCGAGTTTGTTCTGATCGCGTTTGCTTGCTCTTTCTGGAAGAATCAACGAAACAATTCCAACAACATAAAATCGAAAGCAATTATTTCTATTTTTATTTGCTTTTGTTAACAAATATTTCTTAAATTGTTTTTTTTTGTATTATTTGCTTTAAGCATTACTGTTAATAATGTAAAAACATAAACATTGTCACTGTAACAGCAGCAATCGGAGCTTTTATGTTAACATTCTGTACTATTGTATGCAAATGTTGTTGTGCCAATTGAAGAAACGCTATGCTGTGTTAAAAAGAATAATGTAAAACATTTTTTAACACTTTGTTAATAGTTCATTATTAAATATAGGCGGAAAAATAAATTTTAGATTAATAAAAGCTTATACACTTAACATAAAGATCTGTTAAAAATATATAAATGTTTTTTAAAGTGAAAATGTTTATATCGAAACTAATTGTCAAAAATATCTAACTTTTAATGGCTCAACAAAATTTATGTAATACTAGGGGGCTCTGCTCCTTGCGAGTTCACTCGCCAACCCAGGCTATATTCATTCGTACTCTTTTATATTCAACAATATGTATGTGCTTTCAACATTCCCTAGAAAAGACATAAAATTTTGTTCTAGTTTTTTAGTTCTTAAATAAATTTGATGTCTCTTCTAGAGAATGTTAACAGCACATATATATGTATATATCATATGTATATATCATATAACATAGTATATATAGTGTTCTAGTATACATATTGTTCAATATGAAAGAGTGCGTATGAATATAATGTTTGTCCATCTTCATGCGATCATGTTAACGTTATAAAATAAAAATATACCGGCACATATTATTTTTTTTCATAATAGAAAGATAATATAAATGATGTTAGTAAAATATACAATGGTATATTGCAAACTATAAGGTGTATTGTTATACGATTGTACAGCACTCAAAAACTTTTCTACAGACTTTACATTATACATAGAGACAAACAGATACATTACTTTGTTTATAGTTATTAGAATATATGATGAATATGATGTCTACAGCTATATAATTACTATCCCTAAAGTCCTGAAAATTGCTCAAAATCTTATCTTGTAATCGCACTAGGTTTATGATGCGATGATATCAATATCACTGTCTGTGATTGAAGTATGTTTTACCAAAAACTTGCTATTGAGATACAATGTACATAAATATAAATTTAATACAATAAAATTAAAAAAATCTGCAACATAATACTAGATTCTGTATAATTTACGATTCTTGTATTTAAAAAATGTTTCATTAAGAAAATATAAAATTTTGATTAATATATTATAAAAATAAAAATTAAAGAAAAACTATGTAAATCACTTGCACATAAAATAAGAATAATAAAACAATAAAATATTTAAATAATTAACAACTAAAAATTTTTATAAATTCATAAGTCTAACTTTGCGTAATAAATACAATTTTTATAGCATATCAAAAATATCTAATTATTCATTAAAACGTAAACAATTTAGAATATCTAATCAAAGATTAAGACATTTAAGACTTAAGACTTGTACTATATTTTTATTGAGCTCTTGGTACGAATTTGAGCCAAAAACCAGATTTCGGTATAAGTTGAATTGTTGCCATGGACAGTTCCATGGGAATAGTTGATTTCTTGGATTGCTTTATGAAAAAATCGCGTACTAAATAATAAATCAAAGTCTTTGCTTCCAATTGTGCGAAACGAGAAGCTGCAAATAAAAAAAAATAGGTTAAAAAAAATATTAAAAAATAATCAAATGTATTAACCTACCAATACAAATTCGTGGCCCTGTTCCGAATGGCAAATATGTGAATGGCTTAATCTTATTCTTATTTTCCTCATTGAATCGTTCTGGATCAAATTGTTCGGGATTCTCGAAATATTTTGGATCACGATGAATACCAGCAACTGGTATCCATATATTGTCACCTTTTTTAATTTCAATTTTTTCATTATCAGCTTCATAAATAAAATCTTTATTGCATTCACGATCAATAGCGCCGGCTGCTGGCCATTTTCTCAATACTTCTAACACTACCATATCTAAATATTTCATACCCTGCAATTCTTCATATGTTGGTGCCTTGCCATCAATTTTTTTATCAAGCTTTGAAATTTCTTCATAAAGTTTTGCTTGAACTTCTGGATTTTCCATAAGTTCATGCAATGCAAAACACACTAAAACTGCTGAAGTTTCGAAACCGGCAAGAAAGAAAAAGAAACACTGAGCTACCATATCAACATCGGTCCACTCACGATTCACTTTTGGATGTTCAGATTTAATGAGACCACGTGCCTCCATAAGCATATTAATCATGTCAGGTCTTGATATACTATGCTCTACACGATATTTCATTGTACCAAGGACTAGATTCATAAAGTAATCACTAAACTTTTTATCAAATAATTCAATTTTTAGAAACTGTAAGTAAAGTAAATTAATTTTACACCAACGACTTTAATAAATTTAGATTTGAACTTTAACAAACCTTCATTATAGTCTTGAAATTGTCAAACAAAAAGAATTTAAGATATTGCCAAGCAGTGAAATGGGTTACTTTCTTGCTCATTACGAAAAATTCGTTATTTCGATCACTTAGCGAGTTCACTTGTAAGCCAAATGCCGCGGAAGCTATAACATCACTAGTAAAACAAGTGCAATAATCTTTAAATTCAATTTCGATTCCCCCCTCACTGGAACATGTAGTAGTTTCTTGCTTAAGATATTTTGCTGTATCTTGGGCTACTTGATTGATTAATTGATACATTTGGCGCATTTTACTGCCAGTGAATACTGGACTTAACGTACTACGCATGTCCTTCCACTTAGCATCTCGTAAGGAAAATAGAGAACTACTAATCAGATTTCCCTCATCATTGTTGAAAATTGATCGGTGATTGACGAAATGATCAAATTCTTTCACAGTTACCTGTTTTATAAGTTCAGGATCACGTAACATACAAATCGGTGTTCGCTGATCGAAAATTCCATAAACTCTAAAAATGTTTATAATATTATATTTTGTGATTATAAATAATTATAAATAATATTTATTATAAATATTATAAATTATTATAAATAATATATTATACTAAAGATTCATTGTTTAAATTTTGACTGTAGAAATTCTTTAAAAAGTATAGTCGTTACAAGATCGTATGGACTTGTATGTAAGTAGTGAAGTTTTTGTCTGTCAAGAGCATGACATATACAAGGATTGTATTTAAGTTGTCGATGTTTTAGCTTATTTAAGAAATAATCCCGAAGTAAATGTTTAAGTATTATTAAAGTAGCTTATTTGGTATTTTCTTTTGTACGATGAATTATTCCTCTGGTTATTGTTGGCATACGCTGTTAATCTAGGGTGTGTACTTTATTCTCTAATGGTTTAAGAATACATAGGCCATTTTCAAGGTAATCCAACAATGTAAGTTGGAACATTAATCTCGCTTGACTGTCATAGCATATAATATAAATATTCTTCTGCCTGTGGGACTGTCATAGTATATAAATATACTTCTGCTTGAGAAATGAATGACTGTCTAAGTATATAAATATACTTCAGACTGAGAAATGAATGGATAGACCTTTTAAACGCTTCTTTAAACTTGTGCGTTATATTCTAACCTGTTTTTTCTAGCTTTCACACATTAATGAAACAGAAATTTTGAGCGGTGACTTCTAAAATAATATATGTTTTTCTCAAGGCAATTTACAATCTTCCTAACGTATTAAGAAATAAGTTTTATTATGCCTTAGAGAGTTCTAAAATAAAATCAGAATTTTTTAGGTTAGAAATTCCGCCCTCAATGTATAAATCTTTGTATTTATATACATCCGTTTAAAGTATTACGAAATTTTGATTTTAGATTGCTTCCATACACCGGAGAAACCAAGTATTTTATATGAAATTTAGTTTTAAATTCAAGTTTAAGCACAAATTAGTATAAATTAAATAATTAGTTTGTACTGCTGTACATTAAACTGTTTCACATACTTGCCGTTATGCTCGTTATACAGATGCACGATCAAATCAAACATCGATTTTTTTCGAAAGACCATATCCTTCATACTACCGAACAGTGGAAACGGTTTATGGTACGGTATACCACGCTTTTCGAAGAAATCATATTTGCTAACCGACCAACGATAAAACAGATATAGCGTAACGACACTTAAGAGCAGGAACTCTAACAACATTTCAATCTGTTTTTATCAATTATCGTTACTCTTCCAGCAATGTTTGGAATAAGACTAACTTTTAGAAAAACAATTCATACCAGGAAAACTGATTGATGTGCATATGAAACGCAATTTCGAAAGCTTTCAATTTAGAAGCTATGAAATAAAAAAATATTTTTTAACAGATTCACTTTCGCAGTTCATGACTTCTTAATTGAATGATATGAGCATTTTGTTGAATATCTCCTATTATCATTATCAACATGACTAGAAGAATATGTTTAAGCATGACAACGAGTGGGGAGAATAATATGCATTTTATGCATTAATTCAATTTATACGAATAATTGACTTAATTCTCTATTTAAATCAATTTCTACCATAAATAGAATAAATTGATTAAATTTTAAAAATAGTTTAGCATAATAATATTATTTGAAAGATAAGATACGTATCGAAAACTATTAATAGAACCTCCAAAAAATTTAATCAAGCTATTGCTCTCCATTAGAAATATGACATACGTATTTCAAGAACATATATTTAAATTTGTAGTACATATGTTTAATCCACAGAATGACATAAACATTTATTGCTTTATCGAATGCAAATCATTATTTTATGTTATCTAAACTTGACAAAGATTTCCAAATTACAACGTAACAAGGAATCGTACATCTAAAAAAAGAGAATATTCGACTAAAACCTCACAATAACTCAAAACGATCCATTCATATGGTTACTTTAATATTAACATGCTTTTTAGGCTGCTCAAAATCATTAACATCGAGCAAGGCTTATTATTATTATTATATTCCTCATATTATGGTCTTAGAAATGCTTTAATATAATATGGTACAATAGCTCAGAATTTTTTTCTTTTTTATAAAACCGACAATTTTTGCTAAAATTCCCATTTAATAGATCTTTCTCTTGATTAAAAATTTGGATTTTAAAATTTTCTCACTATCCTCCTTTTTTCTCCTTGAGATAAAATTCTTATAGTAGGATCAAAATTTGTGATTTTCTGGGATATAGAAAATTAAAATTTATTGATTAATTTTCAATGGAATACACAGAGGTGAAACTATTACAAATGAGAATGGAATATAATACTTCCTTATGACAAACTTTTCGGATAAAAATTTTTTATTTCCCTCATGTATTTATAACACGAGTATCCAAAACATATGTAGTGCTCCAAACATTAATGAAATGAAAAATTTTATGGTCAGATTTTTCAATACAAATTTTCGTACCCATTCCTACCTTTTTATACGAAAGTAGATTTCGTGTTATTGAACATATAATTTTTAATAATTGTATTATACTATTAGGTAAAGAAAAGTATCCGTGGTTTTTGTTACTAGATGGTGTGGTACCCATATATTCGGCAACACTAATCTGG